CACACACACCAGATACACACACACACCAGATACACACACACACCAGATACACACACACACCAGATACACACACACACCAGATACACACACACACCAGATACACACACACACCAGATACCCACACACACCAGATACATACACACCAGATACACACACACACCAGATACACACACACACCAGATATACACACACACCAGATACACACACACGCCAGATACACACACACGCCAGATACCCACACACACCAGATACACACACACACCAGATACACACACACACCAGATAGACACACACACCAGAGACACACACACACCAGATACACACACACACCAGATATACACACACACCAGATATACACACACACCAGATATACACACACACCAGATACACACACACACCAGATATACACACACACCAGATACACACACACGCCAGATACACACCCACACCAGATACACACACACACCAGATACACACACACACCAGATATACACACACCAGATACACACACACACCAGATACCCACACACACCAGATACACACACACCAGATACACACACACACCAGATACACACACACACCAGATACACACACACACCAGATACACACACACACCAGATACACACACACACCATTAATAATGTGGGGGTTTTTTTTAAGAAGAAATAATCAATACAGTGTGACATGGTTAAGAGATTCTTACAACACTCGGGAGGCAGAGGCAGGTGGATTTTTCTGAGTTCGAGGCCAGCCTGGTCTACAGAGTAAGTCCCAGGACAGCCAGGACTACAGAGAGAAACCCTGTCTCGAAAAACCAAATAATAAATCAATAAATTAGAGAGAGATCCATACCAAACCAGGTACACTCCCAGTACTGTGGCCCTTGCCAGACATCTCCAAGAGATGGAATTTACAGATGGAGCCCAAGAAACCATCCTTGCCAAGGAGGACAAACAGCAGGAACAGCAACATACAGCTTTTTTTGTTTTGTCTTCCTGATTACCTTCTGACTGTCTTCTGGCTGTCTTGTTGGGGAGCAGTGGGGCAGTGGTATGTGGAGGTCAGAGGACAACTTAAGGAGCAAAACTCAAGTCCCTCTTTCAAAAAAAAAAAGAAGACGCCTTCGTGTGTGTGTGCGTGTGCGTGTGTGTGTGCGTGCGTGTGCGTGCGTGTGCGTGTGTAATTGTTTTAATAAGAAAGAAAGGGCTCATCACATATTAGCTATCGAACTTTAGTGCTGTAATTCTGCCTCCCTCCCAGGGCCGGGTCCCAATTCATTCACACACTCCTTACATTTAGTTTAAGACTTCAAATGAATTAACAAGGTTGTCACGTTTCTACCTGCACATTGGCCAATATGATTTCTTGATTGTTGTTAGCCTCTGTTGTTGCTGAGACAGGGTTGGACATGAACTCACTATGTAGCATAAGCTGGCCTCAAACCTGGTATGATAGTCTGGCCTCAGGCAACAAGTGTTTTGATTACCACCTGAGCCCTTGAGCACAGAGGGCCACTTTGTTGGCTGATAAAGGGCTTTCCTTTAACTGTTAAGAGGTTTAAAACTGGCCGGGTGGTGGCGCAGGCCTTTAATCCCAGCACTTAGGAGGCAGAGGCAGGTGGATCTCTGTGAGTTCTAAGGCCAGCCTAGTCTACAGAGTAAGTTTGAGAACTGCCAGGGCCATGTAGAGAAACCCTGTCTTTAAAAAAAAAAAAAAAAAAAAAAAAAAAAAAGTTTACAACTTTTCATTAAAAGGAGATTTATTGAGAGCTAAAGAAAACAGGTATAAAAATCAAAAGAACTTAAATTACAGAAAATACCAAAATGCACCTAATGAAAATATACATATCCCAAAATGAAGTTCATAATGTGCTACTTAAGGACCCAGTGAGTAGTAGCATTTCAGGACTCATAAACTTTTCAAGGTGGAGTTTACAAAATGGATGAGCCAGGCCCGGTATTAACAGAAGACATTAAAAGCAAAATTAAAGGCCTTACAGAAATGGCCCCTGGCTAAAAGCACGGGCTGCTCCTTCAGAGGACTTAGACTTGGTTCTCAGCATCCACATGGTCTCTGGTAACTGTCAGTAACTCAAGTTCCAGGGGCCCTGACATCCTCTCCTGCCTCTACAGGCATTATGCATATATGTGGTACACAGCACACATGCAGACAAGCACTCACACATAAGGAAGTGTTAAAGGAACAATGAAGGAATGACCAGCCAGACCTGGGGGTTCGGGTGGGCAATCCCAGCTACCTAAGAGTTTGAGGACGACACAGGCATCAAATCCCACTCTAACTGCAGAGTGAATTCAGAGCCAGCCTAGGATGCAATTTAGACTCCATCCCAAAACAAAGGTGTAAAGAACAGTGGCAGAAGGGTGGCCTAGTGCACAGGAGGCCTTGGGTGCAAAGCACAGTACTGCCCAAATCAAGCCAAATCCCGCCCATCCTGCCCTCACAGGCTCTCCCAACGCTTCCTTCCTGCCTTTGTTTAAACCATGCTTTGTTAAATAAAACTTCAAACAAGAGGGAAAAAATAGAGATAAAACAGTGTGAATACTAAACACACCCTCCCGGGGTTATTTCTTGAGGGGGGGGGTGTTCAAGAAAGGGGCAGAAACTATAATCCAGACTCAACTGGTGAGATTTAAACTTCAGTATTTCTCTTGGTTATAAACTGGAAGGGAATGTTTTTTTACTTTTAAAAAAATTGTTACTCTCTCTCTCTCTCTCTGTTTGTGTGTGTGTGTGTGTGTGTGTGTGTGAGAGAGAGAGAGAGAGAGAGAGAGAGAGAGAGAGAGAGAGGACAAGCGGTGGGTGTTGGTCCTTTCCTTCTACCATATGGATGGATCCTGGGGATGGAACTCGATAGCAAGTCCCTCTGCTAAGTGGGCCACATAAAACTAACAGTTCTAGTATTTATTTCAATGATTGAAAAAAAAACTATCTTCAGATGATGAGAATCAGTATTAATATATATATTCTGTTAAATTATATCAATGTATTAAGGTATATAAAGAGGCGCTTGGAGATGAGAAAAGGTAAAGCAGAATTGGGAATGAGGAAGACCACGAGAATAACGTCATTCATTTGAAAATATCTGCTGATCAGACACCAATCACCATCCTAAGTGCCAAGGAAATACTGACACAGGATTTGCTGTCTTTTGAGTAACCAGTTCAGTGAACAGAGAGGTAAAATTAGCACTTCTGGGAAACGGCAGGAGATTCTCAAGTCCGTGGCCAGCCTGTTCCACACAGTGAGACCATTTGATTATAATTTGGCCTATAGACTCGGTTAGCCAAAATATAATCCACTCATTCACAGACACACAACAGCGGAACGAATGAATCAAAGGTCAGGGGCAAAACAGATGAATGGGTACATACATACATACATACATACATACATACATACATACATGGATGAACTGATGCCTCTAGGAATTTAAACATTAAGAGCAGAATCCTCATTTGAGACTGCTTCTAGAAAAAGGGCGGGAAGGGGGGCACAGGGTCTGTGGCCAACATGACTAGGTCCATTACCAGCCTTAAGAACTCAGATGGGGTGGAGTAAAAGGCTCACCACACACCACCCCACTCTCGCTCGCCCCATCCTTCCACTGCCGGGCACTTGCACACCTGCCCTTTCCAGGTCTCAGCCGCCTGAGAAAGAACTGGGTTGACCTCTGACCCTCAAATGGAGGTTACTCTGGACATCTGCCTGAGCTGCTCAGAGCTCCTTCAGGGCAACGACGTACAAAAGGTCAAAAGACAGGAACTCGCCTCTAGGATCCTTAAAACCTGTGAAGCCACGGGTGCAGCTGGGAGAGATCAGACATTGGGGTGACCCCGGGGCCTTGCAAGGCCCGCTCGTGACACGGTCACTGACCTTTCCAAAGGGGTTTCCCAGGGCCAGGGGCCGGAGGAGGGATTGCGACGACCCGCGCCCCGCACCCAACAACTCTCCCAGTCAGCCGGCTGCGCGCAGCGGAGCGCAGGGTAACCAAGGGCGACCAGGAGGCCGCCATCTTGAAATCCGTACAAGGAGGAAAACTTTATTGTAACCCAGAAGACGCGACAGGGCAGCCGAGTGCCGTAGCGTTCCAGAAGGCCACGCCTGAGAACGATGGAGCGTTAAAGAGAGGTGACCTCAAGCTTAGAAAGGCAGCAACGCCTTCCGGTGGGCCTTGGGACTACAAGTCCCGAAAGGCAGCGCGCCTGGAGGGGCGTGGCCTGACAGTTGTGAGTGCGCCACGCCCCACTGAGAGGCGGCGGGGACCAACTCTCCACCCCGCCCCCCTGAAACCCTAGTTCTCCGGACCTGAGAAACTAATTGTAGCTTGTAGTAACAATCCTGAACCTTCTAAGACTGCATAATATGAAGGTGGCCAAGTGGGTCCTTACTTCGTCCAATCTGATATAATATAGCCTCAATATGCTTTTCTTTCGGAGTTCAACATGTGTCTCCGAAGGATACCTGAAATGTACTTCTGCCACTCTCTGTTTGAGCTGTTGAATAATAGAAATAATTTTCTACATCGCACATGCTTTCATGCTTTGAAGAAACTTATAAGTGGGACAGGAAAGCCAAAGGCCCCAGATCGATAACTGGTGGATGTGATTGTCAGGGGATGGACTTGAATTTGCGATTGCCCTCATTTGAGTCGGGCGACCCTTAGGCTAGATGAAAACTGCAGCTACAGACAAATAGTGGAATCAAGGAGAGAGCGCTGTTGTGAAGTAAGGAGATTATATGTTTGTCTAGATGTGTGTGCCCTATGTTGAAAGTGATTTTTCTGGAGGCCAGAAGTGAGCATTGATCCCCTGGAGCTGACTGGAGTTAAAGGCAGCTGGGAGCCACTAGACATAGGTGCTACGAACCAAACCCTTGTCGGCTGCAGAAGTTACACATTATTTTAACTGTTGAGCCACCTCTCCAGTCCATACAAGATTAACTTTTAACAAAAGATAAAGACGGGGGTGGGGTGGGGGTGTCAGATGTTGCTCAGTTGATAGAGTGTTTGCCTAGTTAGCAGGAAGCCCAAGGTTCACCAGTTTGAGAAGGAATAGCACATGCTGCAATCCTAGCACTTGGGAAAAAAAAGACAGCAGGATTAGAAGTCCAGCTACATAGTTACATAGGCCAGCCTGGTCTACATGAGATCCATAAAAGTAAATTAACAAAAACAAAAAAACAAAACAAAACAAAAAAAACGCTGGGCGGAGGTAGAGCAGGCCTTTAATCCCAGCACTTGGGAGGCAGAGGCAGGCGGATTTCTGAGTTCGAGGCCAGCTTGGTTTACAGAGTGAGTTCCAGGACAGCCAGGGCTACACAGAGAAACCCTGTCTCAAAAAAACCAAAAAAAAAAAAAAAGTAAACCCTTCAACCACAGATCCCATCTGAAAGACCTGAACGTTGTTTAGCTGGGAATTACGGAAAACAAGAAAGTCTATTGTTTCTAGGAAGAAGAGAACAAAGTTTCAATTGTGTGATCAGAAAAGAGAACACTAAGATGAATTCCAGGAAGCCAGATTGTGGTCACCAGAAGAGGAATTCTGAAGAAACAGGAAATGGAAGGTGTAATCTGGCAGACTAGCTTTTCTCTGCTAATTTGTCAAAGTCTGTACCCACCCCGATGGGAGTAAAGATAGTCTAAAGAAAGACACTTGTGTGTGTCCCTCTCTTTGGCTATTACACTGTTGAGACAATGGCCCCTGAGAAATTGGGCTGGTCCCAAGAATCTGACGAGGTTGAAGCCTAGTCCCAACCAGAAAAGGGAGAAACTTGTCTCCAAGGAAGTGACGTCAGGACCCCCAAGATGGATTTGGAGGAGGGGTTTTGTTGAATCTCTGTTTGTCTTCCTAACGTGCCTATATTCATTCCCTTCCTCTGTGTCTGAGTGCTGGAATCAAAGATGTGTGCTACTACTAACCATTTTTTTTTTTAATCAGGATCTCATTGTGTAGCCCAGGTGGGCCTCAAATTCCTAGTGATCCTCCTGTCTCACCCCTTGAGTACTAGGATTGGAGGCATGAGCCACCTCTGCTGTACGTGTCTTTATATGTTGTTCTAATTCGCTCTATGAGGAGTGGTAGCTGGTTCTAGTTTATTAAGGCTTCCAAGCTCTGACTAGAACAACCCTATCTGCTGATTTACACATTCTATTATATATAGTTTTAATAGTTTTAAAGTCATTGTTCTGACAGGAACAACTGTTTCTCCATACCACATGGAACTTTTATCATTAGCATTGCTAATTTTAGTGTGACACTTTGTGGAATGGCATTATTTGTTTATTATTCATTCATTTTTTTTCTGAGTCCTTTGGAAAAGTAGCCAGAGCTTTTAACTCCTAAGCCATGTCTGCAGCACTTTAATTAATTAGTTCTCCCCTCCCTTCTCTCCCTTTTTCTCTGTGTGCGTGTGTCTGTCTGTATGTGTGTGTGTGCCTTTTTTATTTATTTTTACTTTCTCTATACAAAGCTAGTGCTAGAACTAGCTCTATAGACCAGACTAGCTTTGAACTCAGAGATCTGCCTGCCTCTGCTTCCTGCATGCAAGGATAGAAAGGGTGTGCCACTCTGCTGCCTGGCTGAAGCAACCTGTTTTAATTTTTTTGTTTGTTTGTTTTGTTTCTCGAGACAGGGTTTCTCTGTGTAGCCCGGGCTGTCCTGGAACTCACTCAGTAGACCAGGCTGGCCTCAAACTCAGAAATCCGCCTGTCTCTGCCTCCCAACTGCTGGGATTAAAGGCATGCACCACCACCGCCTGGCTTAATTTTTTTTGTTGTTTTAGGTTTATGAATGTTTTTCCAGCATACATACCTGTGTATCCCATGTGTGCCTATTGCCTAAGGAGGCTGAAAGAGGGCATCAAATCTCCTGGAACTGAAGATGGATGGCTGTGAGCCTCTGGTGTGTATTGGGAATTGAGCCCATGTCCTCTTGACAGAGCAGTCAGTACTCTTGACTGCTGAACCGTCTCTCCTGCTCACAACCTGATTTTTAAAAAAGGTCTTTCACTACCCAGAACTGAAATCAATAAATCAATAAATCTCACAACACACTCCCAAATTTATATTCAGCTTTTATATAAAATTATAATCTCACATAACACTGCTGATTTTATGTTCTCCACTACACTGACAACCATATGGTACCTATCGTGCACTCTACACACTAGAGCTTGAACTCAAGGTGCTGTGCAATGTAAGTGGACAGTAGCATGTCAGCCTCAGACCATGACACTCTGCATTCTTTGCTGGATGACTATCGCATTACCTGCTCTCCTTAGAGCTGAAGCTCCCTGTGCTTGTTATGGTCACAGCTGTGTCCCCAGACCTGGAATAATGTCTAGCTTATAAGAATTTTTTTTTAAACTGAAGGAGTAATTTCAGTAAAAATACAAAGTGTACTATTGAAAGAACCTGAAGGGTTTTTAGGGAAAACTAGAAAGTGTTGCAGAGTCACCTGTGATTTTTTTTTTTTTTTTTTTGGTTTTTCGAGACAGGGTTTCCCTGTATAGCCATGGCTGTCCTGGAACTCACTCTGTAGACCGGGCTGGCCTCAAACTCAGAAATCCGACTGCCTCTGCCTCCCAAGTGCTGGGATTAAAGGCGTGTGCCCTATTGTCTTAAAATACCTTAAATCCATCTATTATCAATTGCTCCTTCCGAGCTGATGTAGTCTCTTTCCTCCCCAAACCCCTCTAGTATGTTCATTTTTCCAAAGCTGTAACCTAACTGACCAAAAGCCCTTTCAACTATCTAAATTAGTGGGCTGTAGCCGCCTTTGACCACGGATCAACTGGGTTCACCTAAAAGGGGGTCTGAGAATGAAAAGGGGACGGAAGGCAAGAAGTGATGAAGCCAAGACAAAGTTCTCTGATCAAGGCTCAAAGCTTTAATGTTCAGCTCTCAATTTAAAGGGAAAGGCCCCACCAAAACCCTTTCTGGTTTAAGCCAGAGATGGGTGGGATAATCCTTTCTTGGTCACAGCCAGAGATCTCAAGGCCAGCCAAGGAGCAGTTCTTCTAAGTTCCGTGAAGCCAAGGGAGTAACTCCACCTAGATCCTATCACTTGGTCTGTGGTGGTAAACAAGGTCTTTCAGGTCTGCTCAAGGCTGGGGGAAGGGCACAATTCCCCCTTTTTAGTTTTTAAAGATAAGCAGTGCCAGCAGCTGGATGGGGTATAAGATTTCATCCCATCTAGGGTAAAGAGTGGCCGGGAGACCCTGCCTGGCTTAGGTTGGCGCCTATATTGCTCCTATATTACCCGTCCTCGAGGAAAACATGCATAGCATATTGATGTATGCCTATGTCTTAGGCCTATAGGAGCTCAAGAACACTCTTACCCGTATTTGACTAACCGGCCATCATTGGCACACTCTTTCCCATATAGACCAAAGCCTCATTCAGACCAAAGGACCTGTGAGCATGCACTCAATGTGATTCTTCATAGCGATGGATAACTGCCATGGTGAATGGCTGAACTTGCTGAGAGGATCCTGCATGAAGGCAACCTATCTGTTTGAGACACAATGTTCAAAGGTTAAAAGCAACATGATTATTTAAGCAAGTGTAGAAAATAAGGTTGAGAGCAGAAATGTTCCAGTATCTTATCCAACTGCTGGTTGACAGGGATCAAACACAATCTGGCCACCAGGTATATAGTGAGTGGCTTTAAGTATTGATGGAGACTACATGCCAGGTTAAATCAGCTGGCTGATAAGAATTTTGAGCCATCTTCATCAACAGAATCATAATCATTAGGTTCAAGATCTGTGTTCACTTGATGGACCAATCTTTCAGGCATCCGTCCATTTTCTTTTTCTGAAAAAATACAGATGGAGCCATGACCCCAAATTAAAACAGGGTCGGGACCATTCTATGTATTTGTTGGGGGGGCTCTCGATCTGACCCTGGCAAATGAGCTGGAAGTGACTGGATGCCAGTGGCAAACTGCTGCAGACTGACCTTAACATCCATCAGTTTGCATAAAATTTAAAACAAATAAGACAAAAGTAAGG